GGAACGGATATCATCTTTCGTTAATATCTCACTCGGCCACTGACGCCACGAAACGGGGTACGTCACCGACAATTATCTGTCATACATAACAGCCTAGATTTCTTCATTTCTAGATACTGGTAAATTCGTATATTTTGATATTTATGGTCTAACGTTGGTAAGTCACTGTTCCGAATTTGTATGGGGCATCGATTCACTTAAAATAGTCTAACCGGCTCTGTCTTTCGACGCTACCGCGTTCTTGCTGTGTTGTCCGTTAGACACCGAGATACAGTTAGCAAAGCTCGCTTAGGCTTGCCCAGAATACTGGCGTCATACGATTTCTCACATGGCTAACCGGATTTATCGGCTCAGCCATGTGTGTCGGAGCCAAGGTGTTAGGTATTCGAATGGCTGGCTGAGATGACAGCTGTTGCCCTTTAGTCCCAAATGACTCAATTTTATGTGTTCCACTAACCTCTAGAGCGCCGTTCATATGGCATCCCGCTCGAAAATTCCTGTAACCCCATCAAGACTACCAGCAACACTACCATGCAGCTTGCCTGAAATTCAAGAACCAGTGACCCACGCAAAAAGCAATTAGCGGCCGACCGACGAACGGTCGGATTAAAACTAAACACAAATTTTGTTGTCCACTCACACACTTTGAACATCAAATATACTATCATGTTTGTATACTAACACTCAAGGTCCTCTTAGTAAGTTGGCCGAACTTAGAGAACACCAGGCGTCACAACCGTGGAATCTCATTAGGATTACTGAGACCTGGTTAAGCCTTGAGATAGCAGATTCCGAAGTCAATCTACCTGGTATGCCACTGCTTCGGAATGACGGAGCTGGAAGTGGTGGTGGCTTAATTCTGTATAACAAGGATAACCTCCGATGTGAACTTATTGATCACCCAGAGATTCGGGCCACAGATACGCTTTGGCGCCGGCTATGGTTGCAGAACAAAACATGTCTTATAGCTGTGATTTACCGTCCAGAAAACTCTACGTTTGAAATGGACTCCAAACTAAACCACCTTCTGCAGGTTGCTTTGAGCAAGACATACAGTCACAGGCGACTTTAATGTGCACGACCTGGAAAGAGCGGCGTCCGATAACATGCAGTTCAAAGCCTGTTTACAAGAGGTAATTTCGTGCTACCCTCTGTACAACCACGTGACCTCTCCTACCAGGTTTCGAACTGTTAACAAGCCGTCGATACTAGAGCTTGTGCTCACCAACGAAGAACACATGGTAGACGGAATAATTACAAGCACAGCACAGGGTCGCAGTGACATTATCACTCTACTGTTTAACTATGTTTGTTATGCGGAATATCCTGAGGAAGAGGATGATAAAGTATATACGGCCACGCACTACAATGTGTTATCCGCGTTTGTTAGGGAGGTATTTTGGACCTTTTTAACCGAATGCCCCCCCCTAGAACTCGACTGGGACACTTGCACAAGGACATTTACCCCGCTTGGAACGCAAGCGTCTGGGCAAAAATCTTTCCATCGTCAAAGGAGAAGGAAGTCATTTTTGAGGAGCAGAACGCGCAAATGCATGTCCTTGAGGGACTTAGCATGGAGGGCTCGCAAGAACTCCCCGAATTCCGAAACCTGGACTGCCTATGTGGCACAGCGTAACTTTCCGCGAGTTTGATCCACGAGGACAATATGACGCATTAGCATGAGTTAATGAAGAGATTCTGCATGAACCGCAAACTCTTACACAGGCTTTCGTAAAGTGCAACGCGGAATTCCAGCACTGATCATGACTGTGGGGTACACGCGATCAGCAACGGAAGCAACCGATCACTTACGGTTCCATTACTCACAAACGTTCCAGTGAGTAACGGGGTCAACGGTTATCCCTGTTTCTATTCTCCCACCAGCAGCCTTATCCAATATCACCTCTACTGCAGCAACTGAGTTAAACTGTTGTTCCTGCGTATGCACAGCTCTCTTGGTGTCGAGAACATTGGACTGAGATCGTTACAGGCAGCAGCCCGTGATCTGGCAGAATCCTGGCTATATTCTATCAGCGCTGTATGGAGGAGAACCATATTCCAACAGTACGGAAGCGAGGGGTCATCACTCCTAATCATAAGGGAGGTAGTCGCACTGACCCACCTAGTTAGTGTCCGATAACGCTACTTCCTATGTTTTCCAAGGTTATGGAGTCAATCATCGCTGATGCACTCATGCAGTATCTAAAAAAGCACATGATGCTAGCAACCGAGCAAAATGACCTCCGACAAAAGCGCTCATGCACTACGAACCTGCTAATTACACGCAATAGCTGGATTGAAGCAGTTGATAATGGAGCAATAGTCGATGTCATTTACCTTGACTTCTCAAAAGCGTTTTATCCCTTAGACCACCGAATTCTCCTCCATAAACTTCAGCTCTACGGCATTGGTGATCTACTGCTGCGTTAAATAGGCAATTTTCTGCACAAAGGTCGGTTGGAGATGCGAGTACGAGAATCCCTGTCCGACGCAATTGAGGTGGAGTGCGTCGTACCACAAGGCTCGCTGCTCGGGCTTCGCTTATTCTTGATTTGCATAAACGATCTGGCGAGGGAAACTACTTCCGATTTTCTATTATTCGCGGATGATATCAAGTTATAGCGAGCAATCAGAACCGAACGACCACGGAAAGCTCCAGCGTGACCTCAGCACGATTTCAACCTGGTCAATTCTGAATATAAGACCGTACAATGTGGAGAAACGCCACGCTGTTCAATTGCGCCATAGGCATGACTAAGTGTATAAGTTTGGGTTAAAGGTATTGTAAACAAGTTCCCAAGAACGCGACCTTGGTGTGCTCATTTAAAGTGACCATAACTGTTCAAAGCAGTCAGAGACAGCTGCGAAGAGAGTCAACCAGCAAGTGGGCTTGCTGCGGAGAGCATTCGGAAGATTCGACCCATCCATCTTCCCATGATGCACAATTCTTACATGCACCCTCACGTTGCATACGCCATTTAAGTTTGGCAACCCTGGTTGAAGCGCGACTTAGCAGTGCTAGAGAAGCCACAACGCAGGGTCACAAAGAACCTCAAGGACCTACTAAATCGGTCCTACCATCAAAGGCTGAAGTTACTTGGAGTTTTCAGTGGCCGCTACCGAAGACTGCACGGCGATCACATATTAGTCTACCAAATATTGAGTGACCCTAATCATGTATGCCGTTACTTGCTGAAACTCAGCCATAACACCAATCTCAGAGGTGACCCACTGAAATTAGTGAACAGTATAGCCGCTTGGAATGTCGGCGGAATTATTTTTCTCTTCGGGTTTGCCAACCCTGGAACTCTCTCTAAAACTTAGTTGTTTCCTCCCCCACCTTGGATATTTCCAAAATACCACTGGACCTTGCCCTTGGCCCCCATCACTTCGTTGCCTAAACTGTGCTACTTTGGAATATAATACTTTTCCCTCAAAAACTGATTAACATACTACATAAACCTGAAGAGGCAGCACAGAAGTGAGTATTCTCGTTTTTACTCTTTTCACGAAGTACATCAACTATAACTGTCCCCATTTTGCCTCGTCATTCACATTCAATTCACACCTACCCTGATATTATTCAGCAGCGTTTCTGTTGGATAAACGCCCAGACAGACAACTCACCTATCTTTTGATAAGTGTAGTTTTACTCCTACCATTCTGCGGGATTTGTGAAGTAACTGCTTTTTAACCCGGCATAAATCATTGTTCATTGTTCACTATTCGCCGACCGCGTGCAGATTTGATTGAGGCATAACGAGTAGCATTGTTTTAACGGGGTTTCTTCAACGGAGGTTGCATACTTTGTGTTTACCGGCTCGATACTTGACGACCGTAATTACTCTAATGCGTCCACTCAAATAATTGACCAGAGACACGGTCATCGGAGTCGCGATTATTGGACGAGGAGGAGGAGGAGGAGGAGGATCTCTAGCATTTTTATGTGTAGTCTTACCGGTTTACCACTGGTAGGTGCCAAATTTATGGTGTCTAGTTTCATGAGTTTGTCAAGTAAGTGATTTTTCTTTGCTGGACTATCTGCACTTGATCGGTCCGGTTAATGACCTGGTACACTCCTGACAGGTGGGCACAATCCCCAATGATATGCCGTATATGCGAATAAATGGATATCGATGGTAGTGCATTCCCATTTCCACTGTTCACACAATCTATGCAGTGTTTGCTTGCTTTTCTCTCATGATTCCACCTTGAATCAACCTGATTCCTTCTACTTTGGAATTACCCTTAATCAAACAGTGATAAGGTATTTTATAAGATAGCATTCAGTGTTGGTTGTATTGTCTCAGCCGTCACTTAGCATGAAGACCGTCTAGACACGTAGAATAATAAGTTATTATCGTTGCACGAAATTCATAGCAGTTGAATTCAGCTAACGTTCCTGGAATGACATTGGTAGACGCCTCTTCGGGGACCCATTTCGTTTGTGTACGCCTCAATGACCTGAGTGGATAGTGAATGAGTCCTCTGTGGATCCGTAGCCATATAAAGAGTGCGATTTCCGTCACCTATGGTTGTTCGGGACTGGCGTCCTTGTTTCCTATGACTGGGATCACCTTTACAACTCTCGTCTAATCGAGGGAACGTTCTGCAAGCTGTAAATTATTATTCCATTCGGAGGACTGAGTGACAATCTGCATCCATCTGTGATGGTTTCCCGACACTTACACTGACACCCATTGCCATCCACATTTGGTTAATCAGTCACCTAAAGCTGGTATCCATCCCGATGACGATAGTTATTTCCTGCATTACTAAGTCAAACCACTACTAACCAGTGACACAAACGCACCCCAACGTCTAATGTGGCGGACTTCTGTAATCGTGTCAACTACTTTTAGGGTACCATTAGGACACCGTGTGGTCAGCCTACCAACATTGTGACCTCTTCAACGGAATATGGAAGTAGTCACAATCCCGGAAGGCTACAAATTTACCTAGTCCGTTTCACATTGTTTAGAGATATATGAAAACTAAATCAGTAGCCTAAGGGTATAGTTCAAGAAACAGAACAGATTGGGCGATCGTTTATTGGTAGATTTGATAAGCCATCTCTTATTACTCGGGTAGTAGTATGTTGCGCATCGTGCAATGGGTAATACCATCGCCAGAGGCATCCAAGAAGAGATTGCGAATTAGGGATTTGTCCTCTAAGATCATTAGAGGCGCACAGTTTTTGGTGATGTCATTGATTCAAATAACTCTTCATAAAACTCACGGCTCAGCCTAGAGTGTAACAGGTGTTCCCATTCATTATGAGCCTCAACCAGTTCAACCAGCAAATTGGCTAGGCGTTCCTTCCAGTCGATTGGACAATTTAACTCAAAGGCGATGTCGTATAGTGCACGTTCAGCAAAGTAGCCTAGTGGGCGTCTGGCCATTGCACTATCGTGTACCTGCTGTACCAAAGCTGAATATGCATGAGAGCACCTGTCGGCGTCCACCGGACGCAAGTCTTGCTGGTGGCCTCCTTGCCCGTGGTGCAGATGATGAGGATGATAGTGGCGATGGCGATGCGGCTCAACGCTGTCTTTCTGGTTCGTAATGAACTCCGGACCATTGGTGTCACCTGAACCTGGAAGCAAGTAATCCTCTGAAAGAAATTCCGATGCGTTTACATGTTCGACTAAAGTCCGTAATTGCTCGATAGATGTTTTTAAGCATTTTAGCTCATTTAGACAAAAATAGTCATCAATGGCTAATTGCACCTGTGTTTGCGACTGCATGGCCTTATCAATCCAGCACATGATCCAGTCGATCAGCTCCGGAGACCAGTTGATCGTATTCGCCTGATCCAATCGTAGTTGCATATGACGTATTCGGAAGTCTATCAGCTGATACTTAGCAGTATCATGAGGAGCCTCGACTTGGTTGAGAAATAATATTTTGTGGGCTCTCCACAGGATCAGATCGCACACATAAGCCAGGTGAAATTTTTTTTCCAGCAACGATGACAGTCGAGGTAGTTTACGATCTCTTATCTTCGTCTTAGGAGAACTCAACAGTTTTCTTCCCATTTCAGAGGTCACAGTCGTGCTTTCGCTAGAAATAAGACTGGCATGTGCCATTTGCAGATGGTTCCAGGCTATCTCTCCTTTTGCTGATGCCGAATGAGCCAACCGTTGGTTGCGACCACGGTGCCTATACAGCAACTCAGTGGTTTCCCGAAGCTGTTGGTGCACATTAAGCCAGGTAGCTTTGGTCACTGACATGCGACTAATAGAGTGAATAAGGTCAGTGGCCCATTTAAAAGTGGAAGTATCATGCTCAATGTACTCTGACACCATCCAGGACAACTGTCCTGTTAGACTCAGTAAATTGAATGGTAGCTTTGGAACATGGCTAACCTTCAACCCACCTGCATTTGCCTGGGTGACCAATGAGGCTGAACTTGTCCTTCTCTGGGAGTTCATACTTCCCGGCATTGTTGCATGAGAACGCAACAGTACTCGACCTGAATGAGCCAACGGATTTGGTGGAGGGGGCATATGTTCACTGTCTGTTGAGTTCTTTCGATGAGCCAACTTCCGCTTGAATCGTGTACCCTCTGTTTTGCGAATCTCGCGCGCCAAATGCTGTAGTTCCTCTGCCGTGGGTATATCTTCCTCACTTTCCGTGGAGCTATCGGTACTTAGGTTGAGACTGTTTAGCTCCCATCGTAAATCACTATCATCTTCGTCACCTTGAACAATGAAGGTCACCTTCCTACCGTCTTCCTTTGCGCCTTCGTCTGATTCGCTTGGACCAGTCCTTTTGCTGGCGTGTGGCATCATCCTAGAAGGATCTTGTTTAAATTCATTGAGATACTTGTCTGCGTGTTTAAACAGTACTGCTCTTTGCCTGCGGATGCGTAACAACGTGTGATGTAAAAATTCTAGGGCCTGAAAATCTCCGGCCATCGCAGCTGTGCCTGATAGACTTCGGAGTGTCGAAATTCGGTTGTTTGCCACATCAATTTGATATAGTTTCTTGTCCATTCGGATGACTTCTTTGCTGAAACAATTTGGAGCGCATATTGTTTGTACGAGATCGGGCTCTGAGTCCGTCCTGCAGAGATCGACACCCAATTCCTCCGGAGCCTTCATGAGAGTGTGCGCAAATTCGAGTTCTCTTTGTCGTTGAATAGCTTCCGTTCGGACATCTTCCTCCTGCTCCATTTCATCTATGCTGCTACGCGAACTCGTGTGATCTTGAAAATTAGAAGGAAAAATGAGAAACGTATGTCAGGAATGCACGTGTATTCCATCCCAAAGTGTATATAACTGAGCGCCCTGGTGAGAGTTATTTTCAGTACAGTTGGCTTCTGCTCAGACGTGGATGTTGTCTGCTATCTTACTGAATATCTGTGACCATCATTTATCTGTAAGCCCTTTTAAAATGATTCAAATGTGCCGTAGATTACTGAATATAAGCCCGTCCATGGATAAGCAGACAGTATAACTTTGCAATGTCAAATTTGTCCAAAGTTGTATGTCCCAATATTAGCCGGCCTACAAAAAACAGCAAAGATGATGTAACGAAATTGTCACTCCACGGTAAGTGCTCTTTTGTCATGTTATTTTTTCCATGTTCTTGTGTGTCATGGTGTTAGATCCTGTGTATTCCCGCACGTTTCTGTGACTGCCGTTCGTCGTGAACGGTAACTATACAATCTACCGAGAATTTCCGCCACGAAAATAACGTGACTAGTTATAGGCAAGCTGCTTGCAGTGCTACGTAGACACCGTAGGAAAAAAAGGAGGAAATTAAAATCCCCGTCTGGCACACCGTCCGACACTAGCTGGTGGTGCTAAGAGGAGATGGGCCAGTGTGTGTAGTGAATTTCGGTGTGGATTTTGTAGGTGACTTTTTCATACTGAGTGTAACCTTCGTATAAGCCGACCGCCCACTACAGAAATGCAAAATTGCCCAAATGTTATCGCTTTAGATTCGGTAATATACGGTACTTCATCTGCTAGATTTCTCTAACGTACCCCATTCTTTAACGCAGTAAGAAGACATCGATTGCGATTTGTTAACATTTCGTTACCCTCTTCAGTCGCGACACAATACAGGCAGAACAAATACGCATGTGTATTGCGTCTCGGCTTACGAGACCAACCGAAATGTTAACATATCGCAACCTATTTCGTCTTACTGCGTTAATGAAGTGGTTGAAGGGGACTCAATGTTTCAACTTCCTCATTCTGCCGACCAACTTAGAGATGGTCACTCGGTCAAAGTTCTTTATACTCGTTTGTAAGAGTCAGCAGCCCGTTTGTTTGGTGTTTGTGAAAATCGACCCATTTCGTATAAATAAACTACCACAGTGCCAAGTCGATTAATGGTACCCAGTGACCGATTGGTAACCACGTGCTCAGCAACTATCCGTGTACGAACGAGTGTATCGTTTCAATCCCAAATTAATCAGTGTTTTAAATCGAGCTGCTTAGTCAGTAAGTTTGATCAACGAGTATGCGATGGGCCCTACACGAGGCACCCCACGAAGAGAAGCCGATTGCCAATCGTATCATAGGGTATAGCGCACTCTACAAATGACATGTCGATTTGTACATTACACATTTTGTTCACAGCATAGAGTTTATTTCCACTTATTGGAAGTTTACTTCAGCACTTGGTCCCATTAGATCATTCAGTATCGGGCTAAAAGCAGTGGATCATTTCCTTGTTCCGCTACTTTTTCACATTACAATTTTCCCCGGTTTACATTGGCCGAAAAGAAGAAATGGGTGGATTAGACTGGCTTATTTTATACTGCTTGTACAACTTTAGCTTCCGATATAATTGCTTTGTCTCTCCACCTCGATGAATCCCGTATTTGTGCAACGACCCTCTTTGTCGCCTGGCATGGGATGTTCCTCCTTCAGTTAAACTAGTTGACCATTTAGCCTTAATATGCATTGTGCAACCTGAAAGTGATTAGTACTACCGCCTTCGGCGTTATTTTTCTTCCGACTGGATCACAATCTTCCACACCGGCCTACGTGAAGCGGAAATAAATGGGTGAAGATGTATCCACCACCTGTTGCCCTGCGTTCTCATGTGCTATGCAGGTCACTCCGTTATATCGCCCAAATGAGAGGATGTCAGGTGTACGTATATTGCCTTTGGGTTCAGGTTAACCGACAGAATATTGTACCAACATCCTATAAGGCATCGGGAAAATTCATTCTTGAGAAGAGTGTCCAAGCTAGCTCTCTAGAGGTCTACTCTAATCGATCACGCTGGTACACTTTATACCCGTTTAGACGGGGGGAAATAAATGTGGAATAGCTAAGAACTGGCTGCAACCATGTAAGTAACAGTCTTAGAGACTATTAGCTTTGTTAGCCTTCGCCATGATTAGTAGCTGTTCCAGCTGATTCAGCCTCTTCACGTAAATAATCACATACGCCGGATCAATGCTAGTGCTTTTTGTACATTGTGTTTTATCAGACTATTCAACAATAAGCTATAAGTAACGAGCTCTCTTAATGCGTCATACCTTCTGGAAGGCTGCCACAGATAAGTCAATGAGCAAGTTACTAACCTCTGTGGAATAATTTTCGCAAGCTGATGTGTTTTTTCTTCCCGGGTACCTGAATAAAAGCATGTAGACGACAGTTGTCAGTTCTGCACAGCACTGCACATCACAAATGATATAGCTTTCAACATTAATCAATGAATCAACATCCGGATTACAAAGACTTAGTAAGGGGAGTTGGATGAGATAGGTAGAAATGCATCACAGCTCGACTCAGTCAGATAGCTCTTATACGTCCAGAAAAGTATTGTACGGTCGTTTCACCCACTCGATCATCGTTATCGGTGTGTATTTCATCAGATGTGTGTAAGGCTCGAATCCACAAATCGACTGTTGCCAATCTGTGGCTAAGACCAGTGAGCTATGGGGGACGGCAACGGCTGTCCTGACTGTTACTCAGTGTGATATAGCACTGCTCACTATCCACTGACATGCCTGTTACTGCTGTGAAGAGCATAGGGTAGCTCCCTCACCAGATGGGATGTGCACTTCTGAAGGTTCCCAAAAGGATGAAACGGCGGTACAGGGATTTGCTGGACGTATGACGACTGTCTGCCTGAGTCTAGATGTGATGAATTTCTACCTATACGCATCGACATACAGTGGAAAGCAGTCGGTCAGTTGGCAAACCCTAGTAATGACGTTCATGTGAGTTACATAGACGGAGATACGAATGTTTTTCCGTACGCTACTGACCTTAGGTATACTGTGAATCGAAAAAAGATTGCAACACTGTTTTTACCCTAACGGTTCAACGTCGCTTATGTTGCACAGACAATTGCAGTGAAGTCCTTAAGATCAGTGTAACCTGTTCTAGCTGCATTAGACCGTACTGTCCGCAATGTGTAGGCAAATCCGTCCAATAAGTGAGACAGAGAAACAAAGTTGCTGACACAATTTCGTTTTGCCCAACATGTCAAGTCATTCCAGTTGTCAACGGTTAAGATTTTCTCATGAAAAAGTGCGATAGAATGACTGAGATAATCGCGCATTTTGTAAATACTAAGATCGATCCCACGGAGGTAGATATGGCCACGCTAATACCTCACCCGGCCAAAGTAAGCTCTGAGTCTAAACCGAAGAAAAGAGCTAGACGCTCCAACCGCACTGCAGCGTCTGTGACTTTAAATCAACTGGGTCACCTCACTCCAGTAAGTGGACCAGCCTCAAACATGCCTGCTTCCACTTCTCCAACCATAGACGCTTCACCTGGAGATTCAGCTATGACAACGACAACTCAGAGCCGAAGGCAATCCGGTGCAGATAACATGTAGGTAACGTACGCATGGATTGCCTCAACAAACACACCGGGATGGACACACATAGGTCCATCTTCAGTACCGAGCACGCGTGGCGCAAAACAGTTTTCACCGTCAACTCCAGTGGTGCCCTCTAAAAAACGCGAATTGCCGGCAAAAAGTATAAAGCCAACACTTGCTAGACAAACCCACGCTGCGCTAACTCTCGTGTGCACCAACTTTCCCGAATCCAAATCTGGCACAATAAAAGGCAAGTTGCAAGACGATCGCAACCAGTGGAGTTCCATTTGCGAGGCGATTGGCATTCGGGTTGGGCCTGCAATGCTGCAACGCGTAGCGCGTCACCCGACCTCAGTGCACTCCGGTGAACCTCGAATTCTTCGAGTAACACTAAACTCAGCAGATGAGACAGAGGCTGTCCTGCTCTCAGCAGTTCGTCTTCGCAACTCACCGAGCGGAGTGCGCATATTACCTGATCTACCTTGGAAAGATCGCGCAAAAGAAGCAGTTGAGCAACGCGGCATCCCTGAAAGCGATAGCAAGAAAACAATACTTGTTCATGGTGTTCCCGAGCTTCTGCATTCTTCTAATTACGATGCACAAATACATGACCGAGAGCAGTGGTGCTACATCCGCGAAGTACTCTCTGTTGACAATATTATTGCCAAATCCCTGACAAGAGTTCCGTCATCACCTAAATACAAGGGCTTCGGTCCAAGGCTAATGGAAGTAATCCTACACTCCGAGGGAATGACGCAATTTCTGTTGGATAGCTGGTTAAAGTTTCGAGCTAGGTTGCCAACGGAGATCCGGCTAAAGGCAACAGCGAACGGCCAAAATTCGGAAGAAATTCGATGGAACTTGCAAACACTACAATACTTTCTTTGCAAAGTCCTGCGGAGAGACCGACACAACAGCGCCCACGGCACACAGGAGGACAGAGCACAGCACGAGTGAAACGTCTGCTTAGGAACGCTCAGTAATGTCATGCAACATGACTGAAATACACAAATCAAAAAAGGATTAATGGCCGGCCACCTAACGGCCGGTTTAAAAACTAACACAAACTTGACATCTACCAATGAACTCCTAACAGCAAAAGCCCTATCTTGCGTGTATCCAAACGCCCAAGGCCTTCTAAGCAAGTTGGCCGAACTTAGAGAACTCCATGTCTCACAACCCCGAGACCTCGTCATGATTACAGAGACCTGGTTAAAGCTTGAAATAACCGATTCTGAGATCAATTTACTCGGTATGTCGCTGCTTCGGACCGATAGAACCCGAAGGGGTGGCGGTGTGATCCTTTACTATAATACAAACCTCCGATGCGAAGTTATCGATCACCAGGAGATCCGAGCTTTTGATTCAATTTGGTGCCGCCTATGGTTGCGAAATAAGGACACATGT